ACCTGATGGTGTGCAGAATCACCTATTGCAGTTATTAGAACAAAATGAACTTAGCATCAGAACTGACTACCGAAGTGTGACAGCTCTCTGATGGAATATAGTTTTACTGGATTCCAGTATATTAGTACATTTGGAACCCTTACTGGGACATTCCAGCTCCAAAGTAGGGGTTTTGCTGGAGTTAATGCAGGAATATGGTTGCACTGACAGACAGACAAGCCTCAGAACTGGAATCAAGGTAATTCCAAACCATGTTTTGAAATCTTAACTATAGCACAACTTTTTGTCAGTCACTGCTGCAGACCACAACAAGCATGCTCTCCATGTTGAAAACATTGCAAATATCCTTTTCAAAACCCCATTTCAAGTTTGGCTTGCCACCTGTACTTTTGTCTTTGGAGTGCATTTTGTCTTACAATTGTAGTTACTTTTTTTTGCAAAGTTACAGGAGAGACGATGCTTTGCAAGGTGTTTAGAGTATATGCAACTGAGCTGACAGATGCAAAATAAATTACCCGTTTCCTGAAGAATGAATCTTGCAAAAATAACAGCTATTCCCCTGCAGTCAAGAGACTAGACAGTGAATTCTCTCTTCTTCAACCTTCTTCCTGAAAGACAGCCCGCCAACTGTCAAGTGCATCTTCCTCACCCATGCAATCGAGGTTAACACGCTATCACTCTGTGTAGTTATTTCCATCTACTCACTCTAAATTGGTAAACAAGATCCATGAAAACAAACCACACTTTAAGCACATCTTACAAAACAAAAGTGGAGTACTGACTAAATAAGCTGACATTTCTAGGATCCATAACATTTTCTTATCGTCATAATCCATGACTTTTACAATTGCTATAAATATGGAATTAGGCACTTATTTTGCATAAGACTGGAACACCAAGTGCTGTGCTTGTTGAGAGAGGAGAATAACTCACAAGAAGCAACTACTATGATGGAGGAGTGCAAACTAAAAGGGCATTTTAAAATGCAGCCAAGATTGTCCTTGATCTCCTACATCAGCCCTTCTTGAAAGACAATGGCATGTCATGATGAACTCATCCCAGAAGGCCAGGCATGCAAAGTGGCTGAAAACTTTCCTCTGCAGTACTAGGCATAACTGTAACCTTGCAGTCCCTGATTCTGCAAGGGGCGGAATGGGGGCAGAGTGGTGACTCTGTGGCTAAGGATCTGTGCCTATGGCTGGAAGGCTGCCGGTTCAAATCCCTCATCCTACTCTGTTGAGCTCCTGAGCAAGGCCCTTAACCCCAACTGCTCCAGGGGCGCCGTACAATGGCAGACCCTGCGCTCTGACCCCAAGCCCTCTCCCTGTCTGTGTGTCTCATGGAGAGCAAACTGGGGTATGCGAAAAGATAATTCCTAATGCAAGAGATTGTAAAGGGTTAATAAAGTGATGATGTTATGTTATGATTCTTTTAGGAGACTCTCCCGAAAAAGGTGATATAACAAGAACCAATATCAAACAGGAACGGAGTTAGCTGCCTGAAAGAGTTACAAGGATACTGAATGAATGCAAACCAGCCTAGCAGAAGATGGCTGGAATTCCTATTAAATTCTGATGGCCAGCTGCAGGAAAGGAGGACTACCATGGACCAAAAAAGGCAGAGGGCCCAACTGGCCTGCTTCCCTTTACAGCTTCTCATGTTCCAGTGAGCCTATAAATGGCTACCTTGGTCAAAAAGCCACCAAATATAACATAGAGGGGAAGTAATAAACAGTATTACTGCAGCTTAGAGCACAATACTATTGCTTAAAACAGATGAAGAAAGATGCAATGGCTAACATGGTGAGCTCCACTGGAGCAAGGAAGTGGGTATTAAACACAGCAGTGGTTGATCAAGATCATCCCTGGTTAGGGTGAGGTAAAGCTATGAAGTGATTTTTTGGTTGCATAAGAAACGTCCTGTAAGATTAGGGTGTCGACATGAACTACACATACTTTTAGGACAAAGATAATAACAATTCCTTACACTTATACAGTGCTTTTCTGGACACCCCACTCAAACAGCTTTACAGGTAATGGGGGTCCCCTCCAGCACTACCAGTTTGCAGCCTCTCCTGGACGAACAGCAGCCATAGTGCACCAGCTCTCAGTGGGGAGGAGAGCACAGTGATGAGGCCAGTTCATAGAGGGGGATTATTAGGAGGCCATGATTGGTAAAAGGCAGATTGAAATTTTGCCAGGACGCTGGGGAAACACCCCTACTCTTTTCGAGAAACGCCCTGGGATTTTTAATGACCACAGAGTCAGGACCTCGGTTTTACGTCACATCTGAAGGACAGCGCCTGTTTACAGTATAGTGTCCCCGTCACTATACAGGGGCATTAGGACCCACAAAGACCACAGGGCAAGTGCCCCCTGCTGGCCCCACTAACACCTCTTCCAGCAGCAACCTTAGTTTCTCCCAGGAGGTCTCCCATCAAGGTACTGACCAGGCTCACACCTGCTGAGCTCCAGTAGGTTGTCAGTTTTGAGTTGCAGGATGATATGGGTGCCGGCTGCAAAGAAGGTTTTGGACGGCATCCGGTGAGCATCACTGCTCTCCTTGATATGCTACAAGCTCCATTTTTCCAGAGCAACTATTAAGTATATGACGGCACTAGGGAGTTTTAAGAGAAATTGCATCTACTAACATGTCAACTAACTTTGGCACACCTTATGTCCTTTGGAAGAAAAACAACTAAGTTAATCATACAAAAGCAAAACACGAGAAAAAGAATGTCCTCTATGCTGCATTTATTAATGACCTGTTTTTGGGTGTTCTCCAGTCATTTCACAGATATTCAAGCCAAATACCTTTTTCTCCCAAGGTGGCCAATGCACATTCCGGTAAACACCAGGAAAAAGGTGTGCATACACACACTGGAGCAAACATTTTGCTTCAATACACTGAACAAGTAGAGACTTTGTGGAAACCTAAGTGATCCCCACTGGCAATAGCAAGGCTGTGGTTGCTATTAAGCCAGCTGCTTTCGGATGTGGAAGAAATGATTAATGGGAGAAACGATTAGATCTTACAAGTAGCTCCACAAGTTCCAGCTTCGGCAGGGCTCTTAACCTGCTCTAGAAGAGGGAAACCACATAATCCCCCCAATTTATATATAAAATCAAACTGAAACAAGTCCAGATAAGATCACAGTGTTATCAGAGAATATGAATGTTACACACAACTACAGGAGTAGTATCATCCTATTGACAGTATCTAAGGACTTCATGCAGAGTACAACTGACTTACAGGTATGTATTTTAGTGAGCTATATAGTTTTTCTTTCAGGAGCTTTTTACCTATAAAAAATAGCAGATAACGTATGTTAAATAGAAACCATTTTTAACTCCGCACTGTTGATATCTTGCTGAATCTGTGTGAAGGCCAAGGAATTACACAGGAAAAAGGATCCATTTAAACATACAAACCAGACTCGTATTAATTCAGTTTCAGACCGGAGGCATTTAGGTTAGTAAGGTAAAGCCAAGGAAGGACGTTTTTTGGCTACCAGTAAAGTCTGTGCACTGCAACACCAGGACAAGGGCTGACATTTTTCCAAAGAATTCTATGCCACAAATAACATTCAAATTTCTTGAAGTTGTGCATTTCCAGGATCATGTTAATGCTTGTTTTATATAAACCTACTGGAAAATACTGATTTAACTAATGCTGGCCATTTTATAAAAGTACAATACCTGAACGTGGGGATTTTTGCATCCTGGCTGTTGTGTGGCTTCCATGCACCCCTGAGCAAGACACATTAGTAAGGGTGCGAATCTGTGCTCCAGAACCTTTTCCTTAACAAGGCCTCATCCTCGTGTCTGAGCACGTCTAAATATTTTCATTCCCCTATCGCTTGTGTATATGGCACTAAAGTAAATTCATTTTTCTTTAAATCTGGCGTAAACGTGGCACTAGAGCTAAACGATATCACACCTTGCAGTTGACAACACTTCCTTTGCAGTAGTTCAGTGAGAGGGAACAGCAGCCTTTACTCGTGTGTAACTTGACAGAGCCGAAGCTCACTGCTGTTAACAGGTGGTTAGTGCCCGCACGTGAAAACCTGAAAGCATTTTTTTTTCTCGCCTTCCAATCGTGAGTCTCATGGTTTGCAGCTCTCAAAACCCACACGACTGTAAATTCACTTTTCAATTTTGAACCACTTTCTTTCTCTCCTTACCTGCAACTTCTTGTTCATTTTAATATGCGATCAAGGTATATACCCATCTGTATGCACACATACATATCCATCACCAAAACCTAAGGAACCAGATAAACCGTTCTGTGGCACTATACAGAGCTGCAGGCGTTGTGGGTGTTCACCAAAATTGGCTCAGGATTAACTCCACAGCAAATGAAAACTACAAGAGCGTTTAATTTAGTCCTACTGAATCGAGTTACTTTTTTTTTTAAGCACAATCTCTCTCTCTCTCCCTGCTCAATTAACCAGCTCACGACATTTCCTGTCCCTCGGAATGGACCAGACCCTTGCAGAGCGAGCATACTGTGTTAAGGCAAGAAACTCTCGTCCTGGCGATGAAGTTTTCTTTAGTCTGAGGTAACTACACTGTAAATGGACAGTACAACAGGAAAGCGTCGCTCTGCAGGTGTCTCAGTGTTGCGTCTGAAGACAGGCCGATTCTTCAAACTCCAATGTTTTAGACAGTAAAAAAGGCCCTGTTCTACCGAGGTGAAAGGATTTGTATCGGCTGTCTGCGACAGGGCGCTGATTCAGCAGCAAGGCTTAGAAAGTTTTTATGGAGAGCTTGTTTGCATCCGGCGCTGCAGCGCTACTCCCTGCAGTTTGAAGCGCACATCAAACCGCTGGCTGTCAACAAGTTGTACCATCAAACTTCACAGCTAAGCGCGGCTCGGATCTCTCCCGAGAGCCCTCTCGTTAACACACAACCGACTTCTTTTCTCTCCCCCGTTTGTTGTGGTGGTGGTGGTGGTTGTTCAAATCATCTTACTTTTTCAATAAATCCCCCCTAACTTACTGGTTCGTAGGCGGCGCGGTCAGCGGGAAGGCGACCTCCTCTTCCTCGTACTCCGCGCCGTCCAGCATGTCGTTTTCGTCCACCGTCCCCAGACCCCCGCAGACGGGGGGCGGCGGAGGAGGGGGCGGCAGAGGGGGGAAGGCGGCGGCGGGCCCGTCCGGACCCCCCGACGTCGGCGACATCCGGATGCCCTGCGCCTCGGGGGTGGGGGGACCCGCCGCCCCGGCCCCCGCGGACGAGCTGCCCCCAGACGGCGAGGGCTGCCCGGCACCGGTGCCACTCCCAGCGCCGGCCACCGGGCACAGGACGACCTCCGAGGGGCCGTCGGGCGGGCGGTGGTGGAGGAGGGCCGGGGCTGCTCCTGGGGCCGACTCACTCACCCGCAATCTCGGCTGGGCAAAGAAAGCAAAGTGGGCCTCCGGGCCTCCGGCGGCAGAAACCCCGGTCCCGGCCGAAACCGAACCTGCCTCCTCGCTTCCGACCTCCGCCGCCATCATGATTTTCTTATAGATTTTTTTTTTCTTCGGGTCCTTCGTTTGTTGTTTCTCGTTGTGTGTGTATATATATATAAAATATGAGCATGCAAAAGAGAGGAGAAAAAGGAAGGAAGGGAGGGAGAGGGGGAATAAAAGGGGTGGAAAAGGGATCCTTCCCCCCAGTCTGTCTTGGGACTCTTGGTTTTTTGTCTCTCTCTCTTGCTCTCTGAACAAACAAAAAAAAAAACAACAAAAAGCTCAGCTCCAAAACTTTCAACTTGGAAGAACTACACCACCTCGCTGGTGCTCCGCCGCCACAGTCCTGCTGAATGCACACGCTCGACAAACCTCCCCCCCCCACACACACACACACCCCCCTCCAAAACAAAAACAAAACAACCGCGGACGGCTGGGCTCCAAAAATGAGTTTTTAAGTCTCCATCCTCGTCGCCGGGCTGGGGAAAAGTTGAAGAAAGTGTGGCACCGAGCGAGCAGGGTGCGAGGCAGAGACACGGCGTCTCCCCTCTCCGGGGCAGCAGGTCCACTTGTCGGGAGCGTGTGGCTTATTGTCAGTCTCTGCCTCCCAGGCTTCTGTCTTTCTTTCTTTTTTGTCTCTCTCCCTCTCTCTTCTTCTGCTTTGCTTGTTTCAGCGGCGATTTCCAGCCTGCAGTTGTGAACACCTCTCCCTCTCTCTCTCTCTCTCTCGCCCCCTGGCCGTTGCAATGCCCGTTTCCTCCGCTCGCTTCTGTTTTAGATTGGCCCCTCGCCGTAGCCCGGCCGGATGTGAAAAAATTGTTAGATTGTTTCTTGCGCAAGTTGGTGTTTTTTTTTTTTGTTCGTTGCGCTGCCGAGAGCTGTGGGTTGTTGTTTTTTTTCCCCCTCCCCTGCGCTGCCGAGAGAGCTATAGCTCTTACCTCTCTCTCCCGTACTGGAAGCGTGTTGACGCTCAGGCTCAGACCCGGCCAAGCGAGCGCCGAGCGGCTCGACCGCGCCTTCGATTCGCCCGGCTTCTGAGAAAATCACTGCCTGAGAAGTGGGGCAATGGAATGGATTTCTCTTATTTAAAAAAAAAACAAACAACAACAACTCTTTTTTTACCATTATACAGAAAAACAACAACGTAAACTGGGGCAGAAGAGGAACGTTTAACTTATTTTTTTCCCTGTACAGTAACATTTTGGACAACCCCCTTCAATCTCTGTGGACAACCTACTACTACTACTGCCAGAATAAAATAACTGAATCTTTTCAACGCTGAACAGAGAAGACTAGGAGGGGTGTTCAGAACAGTGTTCAAAACCCCCCCGAAGCACTGACAGAGAGATAAACCTGACTTCTTCAGGCCTGAAAGTGAAAAATAAACCAGCAGGCATAAGTGGGATCTATGGATGAGTGCATTTAAAGCTTAGAACAGGAGGCTCTTCTCTACACAGAGGATTGCAGGAGTATGGAACAGTACGTGTAGCTGAAGCTAGAGTCCTGGCTTCTTTCAAGGAACAGCTGAATCAATGAAAACAGCTAGGATCAATTAGCTACTGATAATGCACATTAGCTGGTCTAATGACCTGATTATTTCTAAGCTTTCTTGTGTTTTATTCACCAGTGTATACAGTAAGTACACAACACATTGTAGAGCCATCTGCCAGGACAGTGTCCAAGGAGCTAGGAAAGGGAGCTCAGGATATTGGGACTGGCTCTGTGGGAATGATGGGAAGCCTCCATGGACAGTACACGGCTGTGTAGCATTTCTTTGTCTGAGCTGTTCCTTTGTTGCTCCCTTCTGTCACACTGTCACCCTGCCTGCCTTGGCTGCTTCAATATCCGTGGGGTCCAGCCTCCCATGCGTGAGTCTGAGTGCTCCCTGTGTTGGTGATTCTGAGTATTTCAGGCTTAAATGAGGGGCGTGGCTCAATAATGAGCCCGGTTCTGCCCCTGGGAGTCCCTTCCTGGCGCTAGAAACTTGCATCTGTTTAAAAGCACCGCAGTATGTACATTAATATACTGCGGCGTTTATACTTGCCTCTTTACTCATTCTTACAATGACTTTCATTTGTACGCCTTACACTCATATTCCTACCCTCTCCCTCAACTCCCTGCACAACTAGAAACACAGGCAAATTACCGGGTTTCTTCCCATTTTCCATCTAGTGTGGAATCACCACTACTTGTCAAATCCAAAACAGGGTCATGGGGAGCCTGGAGTGTCAGAGCCGACATTGGCAAGCTACAGGCATGAGGTGAGGTACCCCCTGGATGGGACACACACTCACACCAGGGCTTATTTTCCCAGAAGCCAATTAACCTACCAGTTGGTCTTTTTAACCATGGGAGGAAAGCCATGCAAACAGTAGGAGAACATAGAAGCTCCACGCAGATAGCATCCCAGGAACTGAAAACAGGGCCCCAGTTCTGTGAGGCAGTGATGCTAACCACTGTGCCACTGTGCTGCCCTTGCAACAGTTCTGTAGTTCTGAATCTAATACTTTAATACAATTGTTAATTTAATCTCAATATAAGGAAGAAAAATCTATGTTCTGATTGTTTCAGTTGCTCAGGGAGTTACTCAGAACATTTGCCTTTTGCAGGTGTTCCCTGATGTGACAGTCACCCTAATACAACCACCACGCCAGCATACATAGTGTAACGCTTACGGCCGACAAGCACTGTGTGTAAGAGCCGGCGTACCAGAGCGGGTGACGTCACCGCCCTTCCCTGTGATAGCAGGACCACAGCTACTGGGCTGTGGAGAGATCTCTCATTAGCTCACGGGGCTAGGTCGCTGCAGAGAGACGCGGAAGTCCCGGGTTCGAGCCTCCAGTCGGGATGGGGCCGACCAGATGCGGCAAGGGAAGGGCGGTGACGTCACCTGCTCTGGTACGCCGGCTCTTACACACAGTGTTACAATATCATCCTACAACTCACAGCTGGCAGCCCACTGGAGCTCAGCAGGAGTGAGCCTGGTCAGTACCTGGATGGGAGACCTCCTGGAAAAAACTAAAAAGGTGTTAGTGGGGCCAGCAGGTGACACTCACCCTGCGGTCCATGTGGGTCCTCATGCCCCAGTATAGTGATGGGGACACAATACTGTAAAAAGGTGCCATCCTCCGGATGAGACATAAAACCAAAGTCCTGACTCTCTGTGGTCATTAACAATCCCAGGGTGTCTCTCAAAAAGAGTAGGGCTGTTACGCCAGTGTCCTGGCAAAATTTCCCATTGGCCCTTACCAATCATGGCCTCCTAATAATCCTCATCTAAGAATTGGCTTCATTACTCTGTTCTCCTCCCCACTAATAGCTGATGTGTGGTAAGTGTACTGGCGCACTATAGCTGCCGTCGCATGATCCAGGTGGGGGCTGCACTTTTGGACTGGTAGAAGGGAATCCCCATTACCTGTAAAGCGCTTTGAGTGGAGTGTCCAGAAAAGTACCACATAAACGTAAGGAATTACTATTATAATTATTACATACACACAGGCTGCCAGACCTTATAACCGCTGAATGAGGGTGAGTTTGACAACAGAGTGAAGATTTCAGCCATCTTAATGGGGTGGAGCCGTGGCACTGTGGCTAAGAATCTGCGTCTGTGGCTGGAAGGTTGCCAGAGGAATCCTACTCCGTTGGGCCCCTGAGCAAGGCCCTTAACCCCAGCTGCTCCAGGGGCCCTGTATAAATGACAGACCCTGTGGCTCTGACCCCAAGATTCTTTTCCTATCTGTGTGTCTCATGGAGAGCAAGCTGGGGTATGCAAAAAGACAAATTCCTAATGCAAGAAATTGTATATGGCTAATAAAGTGATCTTATCTTAAACAGAATGGAAAGAGGTGATACTATTCTGCTGAGGGTTTTGACAAACTGGCTAGAATATCGGCAGCTGTGATTGCTAACAGGCACTGGTAGAGAAAAGGAGCAGTGGAGAGGAAGCCCACACTAGGACTGAGAACTTGGCTGCTGTGAATATCCTGTTCCATGGGCTGAGTTGCTGACTCATCGTTTTAGGTTGTGATTGGTTGTGATTGGCCTCTGTGTTCTCAGTTTCTATTGGTTCATGTTTCACAGCTTTGTTTTGGATTGGTTTGGGGTGTCTTCTTTTCAGACTGTCTGTTATTAGGTTAGGGGATAATCCACTTGTGCCATCTGAGACCCCATAAAAGGGTACTCTTTGGTCTGCTTAGTCTCCTGAATATGAACCACTATGAACCAATATGAAAGGTTTTCACTCTTATTCCTGTCTTTCCACAATCTTCAAAGCCTCAGCCAGGATGCTGATTTGCTCAGTTCAACAGATTATTTGGAAAATAAGTGGAGGGTAATAAGATAATACATTGTTTTCTCAGCTTTCTCTAATGCTTTTATAGTCTCGGATGCCTGAACAGATAGCGAACTCCAGTTTATGGTTATAGTCCCAGTAAAAATCCCAGTAAGGAAATTTGACTTGTTCCCCTTTGTTTCACAGGCACTTCAGAACTTCTAAATTGTTCAAAGAACTCAAACCAATAAGTTTACCTACTGTAGACCCACCTTTTTCTAAATCCATATTGATCCTTTAATATATAATTAGCATAAGTATGATTCTCTATATGAGTTAAAATGATTGTTTCATTAACCTAATGTAATAGAATTAAAACCTAATGGTCTGTAATTACTTGATTCCATTTTTTCACCCTTTTCTGCATTGACACTACTTCAGCAATTTCCAGTTGGTATTACCTCTGTATCAAAAACACTGCCATCTTTCCTTCCTCAATACTAATATTTGTTAATACTTTACAATACTTGTGCTTACACTGCCTGAAACATGTTATCTGTTCCTTCCTTGATGAACAGTGAAATATTTTGCTACTCCCTTTCTTTGTCCGTGAGTTGTCTGTTCTGTAATCATTGAGACACTCAGTATTCGTTTGCTATTATAATACTAAAGAAAACATTTTATTATGTGTTTAGTTTCGGTTGCAGTATTCCCTCTCTTCCTTTCTAATATCTTTTTAACCTGTTCTAATTAAAAGGTTCTTTCTTTCTCCTTATTTTGTTCTTTGTTGAGTTATTTACTGTACATCCAGGTCTTCCAATTCGGAAACAGCAAACAGCAAACAGCAGGCACAAGGCAGAATACACCCTGGCTGGGCTGCCAGTCAAGAAGGAGGGCACACACAAACACACACACTCACACCAGGACCAGTTTTCACAGAAGCCAATTAACCTACCAGCATGGCTTTGGACTGTGAGAGGAAACCCATATGAAAACAAGGAGAACATTCAAGCTCCGTGGAGATAGCACCCAGAAGCAGAATTGAACCTAGGAGCCCAAGCACGGCGAGGCACCAATGTCAACAACTGATCCACCATGCTGCTTTATTTATTTAAATTCCAAATCAAATTAGTTTCAGTTACGTTTAACTGCTAGTCGGATAAATCTGTTTTACTGTATGCTTTAAGCAGAACATCTTTAAGCTGTTACTATCCGTTTAATATTAATTTGATACTTATTTGATCTCATTGTACTGTCCTCTGCTCTGTCCCGTTTCTTCGTAGTCTGCCTGCACAGTTTCAGATAAATACTTCAAAACTCACTACATTATGATTCCAGTTCCCTAATGGTTCTCTCACTTGTTTTCTTCATTCAGTCTCGAGTGCTTGGAATGGTTAAATCAATACAGACAGTCCCTCTTGTAGACGCTCAGAGAAAGAAAGAAGTGATTAGCCTGGCCAGTAAGTCTTGAGTATCTGTTACCAGGTCCTAGGGTAAAGAAAGCCTGTGCTGTGCTGTTACAAAAGATTGCCTGTATAGGCGTGTCTATTTTTAGCCTTTGACAACCTGGGACCTTCTTCTGTCTTTGTGTTTCTCTGTATTGATACCCTGATTAATTGGGGGGCATACCTCCATGCATGTGTAGTTTGCTAATTACTTTGTCTCATTTCAATTTTTCAGTTCCTGGAAACTGGATTTTCTTAC